CACCCCAAAACCCCAAAACCCCAAAACCCCACTAATTATTATAAAATTGAATTTCAAAAACATGGAAGCACCCCACTTATCTCTCTTGAGAGCCAGGTCTAAATCCTCAAATTCACTAAATGATTACACTGAACGGGATGAATTCAAGAAAAAGAAGAGAATTAGGTATTTTAGAAGAAATTTGATGATTAAAGTGGCTTTTAAGGGATTTAAATTAAAGCATTTGGGATGATTATTGGATGTAGGAATGATAAACATCAAAGATGCGAAAGTGACTTTAAAGTAAGAAATAGAGCGGTTTGGACATTTTTTGAGAGATTAGAAATTGATTTTGGACTAGGATGTGGGGGTTAAGGATGTTTTTGTAGGTGAGAAATCGATCTGGAGAGAAAACTAATAGGTAATTTTGAGACTTTTAATTTGGGATAGGCATAAAGATTATTCAACAAAGCTTCAATATGATAATTATAAAACAAGAGAACAGATGATAAAGATGTGTCATGAAGATTTGAAGCTGACTTTAATATCATTTCAAAAAGATTTAATATCTTCTTCAGGAATTAAACTAGGCAAAGATTATAACTCGAAGCCTCTATTTTCTGGAACTTATACAAGTAAAGGAAAAGACACTAAATCAATTTTGGGTATGTCTGAAAGATAAAAACTGAAAATATTGATCAACACTTCTTAAATTAAAATATTCAAACTTTTCTTCGTCGAATATTTATGCTTGTCCTAAATACTACATTTCCTTACACCCAAATATTTTCTTCACCCAAAATTCACAAAAAAAAACCCAAATAAAGAACAACACTTCTAAATTCATTAAAACAACCAAATCCAACACAAATTTCACCTTATAAAATCCCCCAAAACCCCCATTTCCAACCCCCTCTTCCCCCCCTTCACCCTGCACAGACCCCCACCCCACCCTCAGCTTCAACAACTACTCCCAAATCAACTCAGCCGCCCTATACCCCTCCATCCCTCCCTCCCCCAAGCCCACCCTCCCGTACTCCCCCTCCTAACTCTAGGTCCTCTTCCAAAACCCCTACTTCCCAATTCTCTTCAGTGATCTCCCGCTTGGCCACCCTCTATACCAAATAAGTTAGATTTGTTGGTACGGCAGAGAGATATTGAGTGGGAAAAACGATTGGTGCAGAAACAGTTTGATGATAATTTTTATACGGAGAGTTATGGTAATAGTTTACTTAAGAAGCAAATGGAGGAGAATTTGACGACGGCGGAAGGTAGGAAGTTGTTCCAGAAGTTACTTACCTTACAAACAGAGAATGAACAATTAAAGAGGAAAAACGAAAGATCTAAACATATCCTCTCCAGTATAAGATTGAATTATTTCAAGGAGATCAACAATCTCAGAGAGATTAGCCAACCTTGGCGAAGCACACAGACAGTCAACGACTATTTACAAGTGCGATACTTTGTGCCGACCGAAGGTATGGATAAGAGTATTGTCGATATTCTGAACACAAAGTTGAACGAAATGAAGAAAGAGTACGACCAAAGAATCTCAGCCATCGCTGATGATCTCAATGACAAGACTCTCAAAATTCAAGCATACCAAGAACTTGCTCCTTCTAGCTATGGGCTCCTTGATATGAAAATTGACCAAATTTTAGAAGGAGTCAAAGCTATGGAGAAAGATCCCCAGAAATTATGGAAATCCTTAACAAAAGCATACACAAGACAATTCTTCGACTCCATAATTGAGAGTGAATACAAAGACTACCTTAATGAAGTCTCAACTCGAGAAATGATCAGAAGTGTGAACAAAATCAAAAAGGAGATGAACGAACAATTAAATGATGTCAGAGTGTCCATGGAAGCTGAAAAGAAGTCCCTTAGATATCAGATTAACATGAAAATAGAAGAGAATAATTACCTCAGATCTTCAAATATAAATCTCATAAATCGAGCCCGAAGAGAGGCCCACCTAGCAGCAGAGGAGAAGTTCCAGGAAAGAGTCAACCAGCTGTATAAAAAGTTTGATGAAGAAAAGCATGAGCTATATGCTGAACTACAATCCTTAAAGAAGTATGCTGAAGATCATAATTATTTTAAAAACCAGATGACTCTTAGACTAGCTCTTGTAAAATTCCGATACACCGTCCAAATAATGAAAGTTAAAGATGGCCAGAAAGAGAAGCCTATCAAAGACATCACAGATGACCTCCGGAGGGTGGTAATGGGGAAACAAATCGAAGAACACGAGGAAAGAATGAAGGAACTCGATGAGCTAAAAGATCAGCATGATACCTTAAAAATAAAGAACGCAAATACTATCTACAAAATGCATGAGCTGAGTGAGCAAATCAAATTATTAGAGAAATAACCTACAAGAAATGCAGGATGAGAATGGCTCTCTCTCAAGCATGCTCTCAAGAGAGCGCCAAAATGTCAGGGAAATGAAGCTTGAAATACAATCTCTGAGAAATGGAGACAAAATTAATAAGGAAATCATCGAGGTCCTCGAACATGATAAGATAGGGTTGAAAGAAAAAGTTGAGAGCTTATCAAAGCAACTTGAACTAAAAGATCCAGAATTCATCGGTAAGTTACCTAATTTTTAATCAATACAAAATTTGAAGTTTCTTACATCATTAATATAGGAGCAGGAGATCTCAGAGACAAAAACAGTAAATTATATGTTCAAAAAGCTCTCCAGCAGATCAACGATGAAAAATTCGAAAATATGAAGAAAATCATCAGCGAAGATACCAGAGAGATCGGCACAATTACAGATACTCGAGGGATTGAAGATGAAAATGAGTCAAAAGAGCAGCTTCCTAAAATACCAAGATTGACAGCTATGACTCAAACAGATAAAGAACTTTACAAGGATATGGCTCCTGACATACCACTGAGTGATATCAAAGCGTATCATAAACTAAATGCTCTTGAAAAAGAGATCAAGCAGCTCAAGAAGAAGAAAGGCATTAAAACTTCTCATAGAATGTATAGCCCTTCTGAAAATGATGATTCTGAAATTTCCAGTCAGGAGGACTTTCCAGATATTAAGATTCACAAGAAGAAAGCAACCAAGAAGCACATCAAGCATAAATCGTCAAAGAATACCAAGAATGCCCTGAGAATGGAGAAAACTTACAAAGAAAGTAAGACCAAAGAAATCCAGCATGTCAATAATGAAACTGAGATTAACAAAGAAACTGACTCAGAGATCTCAAGGCAAGATTCAACTGAACGTCCTCACGAAGAGATCAAAGATGGGTATAATCTGAGCTTTATGACTAAGGCAAATTTCAGCTCTAAGCCCTCAATGATATCAAAAAGAAGGTCAAAACCTCCTCCTGATCTGACAGAGGAACAAATAAAAGCAGCTGAGATGGAAATTGATAAGAAGACAGTGACTTACATCTTTAAACTTAAACAAAACAATCCTCAGATAAACCCTGAAATATTTGCAAAAGCAATTGAGTACATCAGAATTGGTGCTAAGAAGAAGCTCCAGTTACATCACTACGAATCAGAAGAGCATCAGATGGCCAGACTTTACCCAGAGAATCAACCTGAAGTATTCGGCAGACTCTGGGAAGAAGTCAACAAAAGAAAACTAAAGCAACAAAAGCTCAAAATAGTCACTCAAAAGCAAACAAGGCAAATCTGGATTAACAAACTGAAGGATGTCAGAAGGAGTACCTGGAATAGGCTTATTAACACAAAATCTGAGTATTTTTCAGATATCAGCCGGTACAAAGAAATTAATACCAAAAATAATCCCAAAGGGAACAAGACTATCAGGCTGAGCAAAAACTCGAAGCCAGGTATGGTTTTTATTGCAAATAATAACACCAAAATATAGAAAATACAAGCAAAATGCTGAGTGAGAGACCGCTAAAATATACGAATAGTTCCTCAGGCATTCAACCTATAATAAATAAAGCCGATATAAACATGCTAAATCCTACAAAGATGAGAGAGTGTTCGTTTATTACAGATTTTGTAAGGTCAAGAGTTGATGACTCATTCCAAGAGCACTCGAAAGATAATCATAGTAGAACAGTCACCACCCAGACCGAAATCAAAGGCAGAGTTTTTGATGAAGTAGACGATGAAATACTTGATGAAATTATCAACAATTCAATGATGGATATAGGCTACACCGAATTTTCAGAATATGATATAGGCGAACACTCAAAACAAGACCAATCTCATAACATTTCTCTATGGAAAAGGAGAAGGAAATCTGATAATGCAGTATTAGAAAAGAATTCTTCAACCATGAGCAATAGATCTAGCAGGCCAACATTAGGTCCACTTTCACAAAGAATTTCATTAAAAAGGAAACGTAAAAGATTCAACGTCGGCACAAGTATGAACTCCTCCGTGGTCTTCACTAGAAGAAACATTCAAAAACTTGATCTTGAAGAAAATAGCCTCTACAATCATTCCAAAAATGAAGACTATTCAGTAGAAGGTCTAAGTCTGAAAAATCTCGATCGCAAAAGAGAAGGAAACAAAAACCTATTCGCTAAGTAACTCCCTCATATCTAACCATCTAGTAAGGGAATTCCCGCCTTAAACAACTCAAAGGAAAACAACAACTCCACAAAAACAGGAATAATAGGAGAAAATAGGGCTCAAATCTCTGCTATTTCAGTAAAAATCAACAAAAACTAATTCAAACAGCTAAATCTTGCTCGGGGTTTTGGGGTTTTGGGGTTTTGGGG